GCTGATTAATGATCTCATCCTTTGTTTTTTTTTTATAGAATGGACCAAATGAGAGAAGTATCCAGGAAATATTATTGTTCAAGCAAACATGTTATATTGCGGTTTAACTAATCATGTGAGTTATCATGACAAAACTTATGTGTGTTTCGTATATCACTATTTTCTTGTATGCAATTGGAGCATATAACATTTCTGGACACCTAACTACTATTATTCCTTCTAATCTCTTAAATTTCAACGTGTAATTACTACGTGTGCTTATATGTATAGTATAGATTGTGAGATATATATGATGGTGTTGTGTAAGAGATTCGATATTTTCCAAAAAGTTTGTTATTTTTCTTTTTGAAGTATATAATATTTATATAAGAAAAATGTAACAAATAAACTCACACACATTCCTCACTTTTGGTGAGGTTTGAACCCTTGACTACGATACCGCTAGGCTAAAGGCCCTTTGGTCAGAAAGTTTGTTATTGCGTCAACTTTGATGCCACTAATATATTCATGTTGCTTCAAGAACATAGAAATAATAATATGAAAGTAAACTACTACTAGATAGATCATCAGAGAGGCATAGAAACATATATGATGAGTTTAGTAATTGTATAATATGCACCAAACTTTAACATATTTCATTCATTTAAAAGTGTTTTTTATCCCTTAAATTCTATTTTCTAATTTTAACGTAATAAGCATCAAATCTTCATACAGCAAAGTGTGTATTAATTTTGGTTATTATATATAAACTATGGGTTCGAAAATCCAACTGTCAAAATCTCCGTCCAATCAATTTTATCAACCTTGAATTTATATATCATCATATTTGCAATTAAAATCACAAAAAACCATAAAATCGGCATCGAGAATAACACAATATAGAACAAAAGATGAAGCAAGATCGTTGTTTTGAGTTGTCAATAGGCAACATTGCACATGAGTACATGACTTAATAATATTAGTTTAGTCGTATGCAATAGTTCCTTTTTCTAAAAGACCTTGTTGATTTAAACGTTGCCCTACATGTTTTATTATTAAAAATAACTTGCATGTTTTATATGTTGTGTCTTGAGTAACATTATTTTAGACATATGCGTTAACATTACTTTTAAAAACTTGCCAAAAAAAGAACCATAACTCTTAGCCTTTTAAAATGAGTTAAGTTGTATAAATTTGAGGAGATTATATTATTACAACACCTTAACAATCTCCTTCACAGGAAGACAAAGAAAAGAACTTCAATTTATCTTTTTGCATCTAGCTACATTGCAGCAGGTACACAACTAGTGCTATATCTATAAGCACGTAAAGTAGTTATTGTTGAAATTTAAGATGTACCACTGCATCATGTTTCCACCAATTGGGTTTCTTCTTCAACATGTCATATTGGTTATGATTTCTATGTTTGTTTTGATCTGCATCACAAGTTGAAAGTGGACAACCGACTGTTCTATCAAAAGTCAACGGTGAATACTTTTTTACTCAGCTTGACCATGGTTTCCTGTAATATTTCCATGTCTTTGTGTTTGTGTTATCAAGGATGCTAATTAATGGATGTTTATAATCCAAGTAGGGTTCTACTGGATGGATGCATCAAGCAGGTTACCAAAGATAAAATTTTTTGGGGTAGTAAAATTGCATCATATACAATTTGGGGTTTCGGCCTAGCGGTATCGTAGCCCTTGGCTTCCTAGGAGGTCAAGGGTTCAAACCTCACCAAAGGTGAAGAGGGTGTGCGAGTTTATTTGTTGCATTTGCCGTATATAAATATTATATACTTTAAAAAAAAATCTTATAGGGCTGATTTTGATCTTATCATGTTAATAGTAAAACATGAGAATCTGTTCTTTAATGATACTTTCGTGTGCATAGATCCACTGTTTCTCCTGCTGAGCTTTCTTACTACTACATATTAACTTAATTACTGCACCACGAGGATATGTGGAGTAAAACCAAATCCAGCTGATCCTACAAACATAAGTTTTTCCATGATTAAGAGGAATAATTGCAAATTGTGGTGTCCAATAAAAGTTTGTCAAATGAATATGGTAAGGACCAAGAATCTTACCCGGTAAAAACGAGACAAGGACCAAGAGTCTTACCCGGTAAGTGAGGATGACGACTCTTACCACGGTAAGTGCTTACCGGGTAAATTGTTGCATACGATGTCGTTTTGGTAGACTAAAATTTTACCCAATAAGTAAATAATAGTGTTAAATTTTACCGGTACCGGATAAGTGTTTGATAAACGGCCCCTTAAACTTAGAAAGAGAAATGTAAAATGAAATCTTAAAGTTGGCAAACGGGAATAACTATAGAATGATCCATACAAGGGGAAAAAGAGAGAACATATACTGAACAAAGGAATTCAAACATCATGAATGAGACATCAAGAGTGTATTTCAATTCATCATGTTTAAAGATAAAGGGGTTGTTTGGTTGGTTTTCCATTAATTGTTGTATGGATAAATTTGACTATGTCGATTGATATATATGTCACGACGGTGTTTGTTTAGTAAGACATTTTCATAGATGGAAGGAGGGTGTGTTTTGAATTGAGAGGGGCAAGTTGGAAAAACTTGGTTTTTTGCATAAAGTTCCTCCTAGAAACTTACCAAATAAGCCACTACCAAACAGTCATGTATAGTTGACCGAATAAACTGTGAGTCTCATCAAGCTCATTAAGCTATTAATAAACACGTTCTAAGTCAATTATACCCTCGTAAAAATATTTTGGTCAAGAAACCTCTAACGTCTGATACAGATGAGTTCATGTCTAGAACTTCTTATCTCCTTCATTTAATTGAGTTTTTTTTATGAATACATGATTTGACTTGATTTTGACATAAAACCATGTATATAACATTCTCTTTTGATAAATGTGATCATGTAGTTTAGATTGGTGAAAGAATCTCATCAAAATTGACCGACGGCCTTGCCTCCATTCCTTTATATATAGGTCCGCCACCGGTCTTGTATGACTTTTACAGAGAGAGTGTTTGAACGGTTATCAATCTTATAAAGTATTGTGTGACAATAGTATTTAGTGCAGTTTAAATGTGGAGCTTTTTAGACTTTGTGGTAAATGTTTTATAATATGAAAAATATTAATTTGAGTCCCATATATATGAATATACTCGTAATCAAAATTTTGAAGATTCAATTAAAAAGATGGAAAAAGAATGTAATTAATTTTTAGTTAAGATAATTTAGATTTTAACTCAAACTACCATAATTATTAATTTCTAAATTTATCCTATAATTTGTGGTTGAGATTGGATCTCACTGTTACCACAAACTAATCAGTTCTTCCTTGAATGGGTCACTATATATATATATATATATATATATATATGTATATATGTGTGTGTGTGTGTTGCCTATTTATATGTCATTTCTTCTCTTTCAAACATTTAGGGGCTGTTTGGCGGTTGTTGAATGGTTTAGTGCAGAATGGTTAAGTGGTCAGAATAGTTAAGAGAGCCAGAATGGTTAAGTGCTGAATGAAAAAATGTTGTTTGGTAACTGTTCTCTGAATGACAACAAATTACCATTTTAACCCTCTATATGATTTTGCAAATATAACTACATATTTCATATTAATCCAAACAAACGTAATATTATTACGTCAAAACAGTGTCAACGGTATGCATAACATGCTGTTGAATTCCAAATACCTAAAAGCAACCCAAGAAATTCTTGAAGAAGTGGCGAACGTGGGTGAAGGAGTGCTCAAGAACTCCAACCAGTCAACTAAGAATCTCAGGAAATTCAGATGAAGAAAGCAAAGCTTGTTGACATGCTTGATGAGGTAGCCGATCAAATTGCTGGACTTGTGATCTCTTGGTTTGAACAAGCAGCAGGAATTGGGTCTGCGAAAACTTACACAGCATTAGCTCTTCAACAACAGAGGTCTGCCAGCAGGAGCTTGGGTGAAGAAGGCGGCGGTAAGAAGCCTGATGGAAGCAGGTCGATGCTAAAATTTGTAGATAATCAACTCCGGCAACAGAGGGCTTTGCAGCAATCGGGAATGGAAGGGGGGAAGACGAATGGAAGAGCGACGATGGGGGGATGGGATGTGAAGGAAGAGGGCAAAGTTGGAAAAAATGAAATTTGAATGGTTGAGTGAAGCCCTAGCCACAAAAAATGGTTAAGAGGTTAATGTAACCATTAAGAGGCTTATTTTTTTTGCCAAACCACCCTTACCTCTTACCGATTAAGAGGTTGGCTCTTAATGTCACCATTAAGAGCCAAACAAACAGCCCCTTAGTTTGTAAGTTAGAGGTTGATGGAGGGAAGAAAGAAGATATAATGATAAGCTTACATTTCAAATTAAATATTTTACTTCAATTATAGATGGCACTTATAAGTTGTAATCTCTTTTCAAAACATAAATTAGGGATTTGAACTTTAAAAAGAAAAGTTCTAAATTTAGGAGTCATTTAACAAACACTTATCTGGTAAGGCGTCTATTAGTAAAATTAACACTATCACTTGTTTACTAGATAAGATTTATGTCCATCAAAACGGCATCATATGCAGCAATTTTCCCGGTAAGCGCTAACTGTGGTAAGAGTCATTGTCCTCACTTATCGGATAAGACTTGATTATTGTCTTGACTCTTACCAGGTGAGATTCTTGGTCTTTGCACATCCATCCGGTAATAATTGCCTATCTAAGTAAGCGTTTGATAAACGGTCTCTTAATGAGCCGTAAGACATGACCTATGTATATCATATATATAATTATATATACACATTGATGTTTTCTACTACTATTGTTTTTCATTATTATTACTGAAATAATAATAATAATTAAAATAAAATAAATAAATATCCTGTATGGAAATGTGGATTAATGTTTTGAGAAGAGTGTTTTCATGGATGAAAAAACATGTGTTTTTGAATCGGAAGGTAAAAGGTTTACTCAGAAAAGTTACCCTGGAAATTTACGGAATAAACTATTTTTTATATTTTTAATCCACTACTAAACAGTCATGCTGACCGAATAACCTATTAAACTCGTTAAGTTGCTAAGAAACAAGCCATAACACGGCATAACGTAACTCGGAAACATGTATTTTAATTGTGTAAAATTCAAAATATGATCTCAAAACTCAGCAAAACTTTAATCATCATAATAACCACCGAAATGAACATCAAATGCAAGAAAACTCCAAAAAGAGGATTTAGATTCATACCAAAATCCAATTACTCCTTCATACCTTCATCTTCTTCCGCTTCGCCTTGTATTTCAAGATCCGCAAGCAGCTCTTCCAGTGGCACCGAAGGCGCATCCTCCTCGCCATCAGTCACCGACGCCATTTCCGACGGCTGATATTCCTTATTTCGATACAACGATATATTAAACCTCAACTCCGGATTCTCTTCAAGATCTCTAATAAACTGTTCATAATCCGCGTTCCTTTTTTCTTCGTCCGCTCTACCCCTGGTTTCGCTAGCATCAACCTCCATATTAAGCGATTTAAGCTTCCAAGAACGCGGCTTTCCGCGTTTCTTTTGTCTCTTTTCCTCGTAACTTTTCTTGATCAAGATCACTTCTGGGATCACGAGACCTTTATACGTATCCAGCTCCATATCATTGCTGTTAGCAGCATGCATATCATAACCAAGAGCATAATCACCGGCATTTAGAAGATGTCCCAAATGAGTCCTTACGAAAAACATGGTATCGTTTTTCCCAAAATCAGAAACACGAGCCACCTGGACATCAGCCAAGACATACTTTGAACCACCAACATTGACCTCCGATGAAATGGGATCGACATCCAAGACAACGTATTCCACAAGTTGTTTAGAGGAAAGAAGGGAAGTAAACGACGTCCGCCAGTATTGGTCCGCATCAAGAAAACAGTGGCGGAGTGTAAGTGGATCAAGTAAAGCGATAACGTTGCTGATTTTTGTGCAGATGACGATTGGGCCGAGGTTTCCGAGACTGGCAGCGAGTTTTGGCGGGAGACAAATCAAATCTTCACGACAAATTGGACAGATTTCGACGGAAAATGTGTACTTGTAGTTGTAGCTGTTGCTTTTTGAATCCTGGGACACGAGTTGCTTGTCGCTGCGGCTCTTAATTGGAACAACTTTCTGCACGAATTCCACAAACTTAACTGCATGACTACGGTTGGAAAAAAAGAAATCGATCCCACGATCCATTTGTCTGATTCTGATGGCTCTGACAGCAGCATCATGTTTTAGGATAAGTTGCTCCAAATAAAAGAACGTCCGTCTGTGAGAAACATGTTGCCTTAGCTGCACGGCTGCCACCCACTGATCGGGATTAGCTTGGACTTTAGAACAGGACTCGCACATTTGATCCTGAACAACATACTCAACTAAAAAGGCTTGCTCAAGAACAGCTCCATTGAGAACCTCTTTTTGAACTCTAAGTTTGACTTTAATCCTCTTGGAATGGGGTTCAGTCCAAATGAATTCGGCGTGAATCAACCTAACTTTATTCAGATTCTTTAATCTCTTAACGCAGAAAGTTAAGAGTTCTTTAGATTCTACCTGCGCTTTAAGCCAAGTTCTTGGTGGCTGCAAGTAGCAATCACATTCTGGGCAGTGAATGATGATGACATGCTTCTGTAAACCCTCTGTAATGTCTATTTCAGAACGTAGACATTTAACACACATATTGGCAGCATTCGGGGCCATCAAAATGCCACATTTGCAACATAAAACAGTACCTACGGTTTGGTGTACCGTAAACATTCCCGCTTCTCCAGCCATTGCTGCCAACAGAAGTAAGCAAAACAAACATCACTTAGAAGAGCAAGATTCTAAGACGATAACATGCTAATCAAAAATTCATCAAAACTCCAAAATTTGATCCATCTAGACTACACTTAGGGCTGTTCAGTTCGTTTTCTGTTAAGACCTGTATAGATATAGTATTGATATAGTTGTCTATATATTAACAGATAAGTTGTTCGGTTGTTGTGCTGAATAAACAGTCTGAATGTCAGAAATGACCATTTTACCCCCAACCTATATTAAACACTATTAAAGCATTTGTTTGATAGAAATGTTGAATATTTGACTTTGAATGGTTAAAAAATATCAATTCAAAGTTTTTTTAAATAAATCAATTTACCAAATCCTATCAAACCCAAATTAGAACAATTTCATTCTCAAAAATATCAAGCCCTAATATTTTTTCAAATCTAAAATCTTTAATTGTTGGTGGGATTTTTGATGTTATTGAGGATGAGATTGTTTGTTAAAAAAAGGGTATTTAAGTAAAAAGTTTGGCTGAATGTAGACAAGTGCCCTTTCTCAAGTTGTCCAAATAAGCTCTTGATTTCCAGATTAAGAGCCGAACAATCATTTATGGCTGAGCGAATAAGCTATATGGGCTATACAGCCCAGTTGGTGCAAATCAGGCCCGTCCCTTGGCCTGTTACATCTAAGATATAGAACAGGGTCCCCCAACATTTTGGGGTCCAAATTTTTCACAGGCCAGTCAATGGTATTAGGTCGATTCCAGGCCCTAGCTAGCACTGCGTAACGAAGAACGAGAGGCGTGGCGAGAGCGATACCGGATACCTCGCCTTGATCTCCCCTCTCCTCTCTATCTTATCGAGTATCAATTGTCGATTGAAATCTCCAAAGATGGCTGATGATTCGGTTTCAGATATGCAACGGCAACGTCAACAACAGTTAGATTTTAGAGGATTTTTCTTGTTTTGTATAAGTATAACATGTTCGGTCTATTTGTCGATTACTCATTACTCGATTGCTATTCATCTCTTCTCAAATCTCATAATCTCAACGGCTCAACGATTGGTCGATTACTCGATTGCTATTTGCTAATTTGCTTCCCATCATCACAAAATCTCAATTCTGAAATTGGATATTCGTATCTTTGTTGGTTGGACTCTTGGTCGATTTTAACCTAATTCCTAAAGTGAGGTAAATTCCACTCAGAAATCTTTAACACATGATTCTTGTTATCTTGTATGATTTTTGTGTAAGAAAATTGAAAACTTGTTCATTGTTTAGACTTTAGAATCTCAAGTTTTTTACAGTTCTACTCTAGATCGATTGCTGCTCCCTGGCCTCTGCTACCTTTATCTATTTCATGGTTACTTATGTAGTTGTGTTATAATTTATTAATGAAGCATTCAGCAACATTATTTGTAGCAATACAGTACCACACATTGATGAATAACTAGACAAGCACACAATATAAATGCTTAGAAACACTACGGAAATAGGCCTTAACAAAGAACCAGGAGAACAAAGTATAAACACTGTTATAACATCAGAGTATAGAAACAAATCATTTGCTAAAACAAATGTTCACTTGAATAGCTCCCAATCCAAAATTAGTTAAGAGACAGAGAAAACAGATTTGATGCTAAAACAGATGCTCACTTAATTTCTGCTATATTAGATGAAACTTTGGCTGCCCACTGGTGCTGTGGTGCATAACTCAGATTTGATGCATACAGTACAACCAGCTGATTTTTTGATATATATATATATATATATATATATACACATATAGTATAATAGGGCCTCCAAAAAGATTGGGACGGCCCTGGTGCAAATGCTAAAAATCTGTTCATGTTTATCACCCACAATTGGTTATATCCTTCATTTTCAAAGTGTATTCTCTAAATAACTTGCAGGAAAAACTTATTTTCAACCAAATACCCCAATTAGACTCCAGATGTGACTATTCTCATTCTATATAAATCTGCTCAATCATACCATTCACAATTACACATACTCAATTTTTGCAAATGTTCAATGGTAGACTCTAATCGTAGAGAGGAGAGGAGCACTTTGGAAGAGATTAGATATCAAACACACATATGTGTTTCTTGCTCGCATGCAATATTATAGATCATGCTTCCGAGGTGAACAATTTCATTGTCATACAACAGACTTATTCCTTCAACTAATTCTACAAGATAAGCTCATTTTTACATCCAAATAACTCATTGATACTACTATATGTCCTGAGTAAGCTGATAAAACTTTATCAAAGCAGCAGAATAACCATCATGTCAGTTCCCTAAATAAAGGATCACGATTTATATCTAGTCTCTGTCAAACCTAGAACCATACGAAATGCAAAATCCATATGAAAATTCTAAATTTTAACACCAAACATCTTTCCAAGTTTATAATTGACATGAAAGCTGCAAACCTAACTCCAATTTTACGATGAATCGCAACGACATTTGTAAATTTTGAAAAATCTAAAATCCGTAATAACATTTCACGGTGCAAAATCAAACGAGACCAATTTCAAAGAAAAAATCGAACGGTAGGACTTGTTTCGAAGCAGATAGAGTATGCGTTTGTGTCCCCAATTCGTGAATTCCATAAAAGGCAGGAATCAATGAGCTCGCAGCTAAAAACACGATTTAATACGTAAAAACATATAATTTGAGATCAAAATCAAAACGACAAATTAAAAGAACAAAAAACCGAATTTACGCAGTCATCTAATTGGCAATTAACACAGACCGAGAAATCGCAGTTCGTGTACACAACTACTGACCAAATTATATTGAAAGCATGTGAAATTTGGACCGAGTGAAAGAGATCGTACCAGTAGACTTGCAGGAAGGTGGTTGAAGACGGAGGGAGGAATAAGAAACCCTGATCGATGGTTTTAGGGTTTCAAGGGTCGGTTAAGGGTTTTGTGATTTAACAGGGGACTGCTAATGACATACGGTGATAAATGCAAATTGAATCATAATTAATGCCGGAAAAATCTAAATAATTTCAATCAATTTAGTTTTTGGAATGATTAAATCAGTTTTTGAAATGGTTAAATCTTTTTTGGATAAATTTTTAAAGAAAAAATAAGTTTTTGGATATTTCAAACTTTGTTAAATAATTTTTTGGATTTTTTAAAATTTGTTAGATACATTTTTAAGATCTATAAAACTGATTAATATAGTAAAATAATTAAAAAAAAGGAAAAAAAACAATGAATTTTTATACTTAAATAATTAAGTCTTTAAATATTTTTTGAACCAAAAAAGTA